TGCATAAGCATAGCCTCGCCCTCTTGTTAACAAGGAGGTGGGCAGTTGCCATTGACATGTTATGGGGTCCTTCCGTCTCACTAGTGGCAGGGGTGTAGGCCAAGGTATGGTAGCCCAGTGTTTGTAGGCCGGGCTCAACCCATTTTCATCAGACAGGAAATTAATGATGAATAGAACTTCAATTGGAGCCAGGTGCGGGTCCCTTTTAGACTCAGGGGTAGCAAATTTTTGTAATGTTTCTTTTAGGGTCCTATTTGCCCACTCCACAATGGCTTATTCCTGTGGATTATAAGGGATGCCAAGGGAGTGGCTAAGTTTCCATGTTGACAGGAATCATTGGAATTGTAGAGAGGTGTAAGATGGCCTATTATCAGTTTTTAGGATCCATGGCACTCCTATTACAGCATTGCTGATTTGACTGCCTTAATAGCATGTGAGGCCTTTTCACTGGTTTGAGCGATGGCAAAAAGAAAGGAGGAGTAGGTGTCAACAATGACATGGACATACTTAAGATTACCAAAGGAGTTATAATGGGTGACATCCATTTGCCAGAGGGCATTGGGTAGGAGACCATGCAGGTTAACTCCATATCAATTGAGGGGGCCTAAAGGAGCATGAGGTGCACATGTAACACAAGATCTGCTCAGATGTTTGCATTGAGAGATGGGTAGGTCAGGTAAAAGGCAGTGCAGACTGCGAGGAGAAAGGTGAAATTGTTTGTGTAAGGCTCTGGCTTGTTCTAGTAGGGGAATCTCTATGGACATAATAAGTTTATCTACTTTGTCATTTCCCTTTGCCAAGATCCCAGGGAGCTTGGTGTGTGATCTAATGTGGGAGATGTGCCAGGGCCATTGTCTGTTATCTAAGATAATCTGGAGAGCTCTCATCATTCTAGTGATGGGATCCTTGTGTTATCTAAGTTAATCTGGAGAGCTCTCATTGTTCTAGTGATGGGATCCTTGGGCCTTTTACCCAAGCAAAGGGAAGACATCTGAGGGCCTGAACCACATACTGGCTGTGGGAGAATATATTAAGTGGCTCAGTCTGGCAGACTTGGAAGATTTTTAACAGGGCCAGGAGCTCTCCCAACTGGAGAGAGCTGGGATAAGCTTGTATGTAACAGGTGTCATCCTTTCCCATGCACTGAATGACAATGCCTTAATGGGACTTATTGGCATATGAGAAGGCTAGCCTGGCTAAAGGTAGGGGTTTATTGCAAGGGAAGCATGTGGCTGAGTGGTGATTTCCAACTCCCCTGTGAACCCAGACATCATTAGTTGGAAAGCCAGAGAGTCTGCCCATAATGTTTGGGAATGCTTAAGAGGAAAGGGCAGTATAATTTTGTCAGGTTCCTTTCCAAATATGCGTCTGGCTGTTTTTCGGGCCTTAATTGCTAACTTGAAGACAATATTATACTTAGAGCTAAGCCTAGTTAGGTCTGAGGTAGCCAGGTGGATCCACACCAGGGGGTCTTGCTGCCATAGTGCCCCCAAGACACCATTTTTTGTCCAGAGGATTAAGGCCAGTAATGGTTCTGCTGGGTCATGATGTAGGAGTGACACAGACTAGAGTATATGATCTATCTTATTAAGAAGATCCTTAGATGACTGGATGAAAGGGATCCTTGAAGTTGGTGAATTATGGCCTTCCAGCGGGGAGAACAAGGCCCGGAATTCCAAGTCAGGGACCGGTATACATTGTTTGAGGAAGTTTATAGGGCCTGGCCGGTATTTCCAATGAGGGAATTTAAGGGATTCAGTTTCTGATATAATGGTGACATCAGCCCCTGTGTCTACTAGGCCCTTTATGGCAGTTCCATCTAGGAACAGGGTCATTAGTGAGGAATGGTTGAGGATTGGAAGAGTCCATATTATCTGTCTCGTTTCCCCTCTAGTGGGCAGGGCTGAGGGGTGCCCCAGGTGGAGTTTAAAGGAGCCAAGTCTGGTTGAGGCTGTGACCCCCAATGGAACCCTCTTTTGCACTTGGGGCAGTGAGTCTTGGGGCAGACTGTACCTCTTGGGCAGTGGCTACAAAAGAGGTAACATTTAAGGGCCTTGAAGGCCAAGTCAGAAACTTGTTGAAAATAGGCATGGAGGCCAATAGTAAACTGGGAGATGGGGTCAGTATATTGTCCATGTCCCATGAGCATGTCCAACCTAATGTTGAGGCCATAGGAGATTTAGGCATGCCTGGTTTTCAGCCTGATCTTCATAGGCTGTGTGCCAGTTTAGAAAGACTGAGGGTTCTAAGACTGCCTTTAGTAAGCTATACCAATCATAGTGGGTTTGTAACTGTAAGGACCACTGGTGAAGAACATGTTCGAAATATGGGGAGTCAGGGCCCGATTGCTCAGCTGCCTTGTGGATAAGAACGAGGTCAGCAAGTGGGGTGGGCAGCCATGGATGTTGCGCCGCATCAGGCCGTTAACCGGAAATGCGGACAAAAGCGGGTGAGGCTTTAAGGAGGGCAGCCTAGGAGGAAGGGGCACAGTAGCAGGGGAGGTGGGATGGTTATTGGTGGGGGGAGAGGGTAACTCCTTCCACCGGTAATGGGGTGGGAGAATTTCTGGGCATGGTAGCTCTAGGAGAGTATCCTAAGATATAGGCAAAGGAGCTCCTTCCTTATTGGAAGTGGGTGCAGAGGCTGCATCTGCCTCTGGGTCCGGGGGGGTCCGGGAGGTCTGGGGTTGAGGTAATAGCCATATCTACACTAGATTGCTCCCGGCAGTGTTTGTTGTGGGCCGAGATGACTTCCTCAGGAGAGGAGGATTTAAGGCTAGCAGTGACGGCTAGGAGGATCGGTACGAATGATCCAGGGGGAGTGATCCCTGACCCAACCTCCCTTTTTTGGGCCAGGAAGAGGACCTGCATCCATGTGTCAGGGCCCCACATGTTTTCAGGGGAGAACCACGGAGCTAGATTAGTGGCTTTGTCCCAAAAGTGTTTGATATCTTTTGGTTTCACTTTTAACCCTCTAGTTTTAAGGCCGCCAACACCATGGGCAAGAGTCCCTGTTCAGGCGCCAGGTGTTGCGGGTTCTCCTCAGGCCGGCTGTGAAGACCCTAACCTGGATCAGGTCCCCTGCCGATTAGGGGGTAAGAGGCGCGGGGTCACAACACACAGACTCCGGGAGTCGGGTAGAAGCAAGCACTAGGCGAGGTGCTGAAGGCTCGTTTAATGCAGGAGGGGTCACGCCTTATATTTCCCTTTTCTCTGGCCCCAAGTCCCTTTAGTCAGCGTATCGTTTTCTGATTGGTCCTCACCACGCAGTCTGTCAGCAGTCACTGGGCTTGTGAGCAGGGTACAGAGGTGTGGACTCCTTTTGGCTGGCTATTTGCAGACCAAGAAGTGAAGTGAATTCTCGCTGAATCCCAGGGCTCTGGGTCTGCGCCATCTTTGGAGGCCTCCTGCTACAGGACTAGATATTTAATCTCCCTGTAATAAAGAGTATTAACAGCACCTTCCTGAGAATCCTTGTGAATGTCTGGGCCAGGCCTTGGGACTCCATGTTTATCACTATTATTATTATTATATCACATTTCTGAAACCAGCTTGTTCACAAATGCAGAGCTGGTTTAGAATCATTCTTACTGTAGCTTCTCCTGAAGATGGAGTGACAGGATTAGGGAACTAGGCTTACTTGCATCACAAATGTGCAGAGAACTAGCTATATCGGGCCAGATTACTAGCTAAGGAGATCTGAGTCTCAGCAAGCAAAGCCATATTCATCACTACAATTCTGGCCTGGTATCCAGCAGTGCTCTCCAGCACAGCAGCAGCCACTCATAGGAAGGTGATCTGATAACATACCTCTCCTATGCAGGGTGTACACTGAACAGAACATACTGCTCACTCTGGGACATGTTCTGCAGCTTCCTCTCCTGGACTTTTAACTTTAGG